CGTGAGACATTTGCCGGGCATAGTGTTTAAGAGGTCCTCACGCAAAAAAAAAACAATACATTTTATTCATATTGATCCATATTTGTGTTTAATAAAGATAACGGATTTAGTATAAAAAATATTTTTAATATGATCGCTAGGTTGGCTTGATGAAAAATGCTAGTATTAACTCGATCGCTTTGTTATTTGATGACACGCAGTTTTAATTGTTGCGAATCAGAAGTATATTACCAAAGCAGCCTTTCTTTCTTAATATTACCTATTTTTTTATCTTATCGCAGTTTGTTGGGAAAATATGTTTTTGTTTACTACAGTTTTTCTCTCTTGCAAATTACACTTTTACATTTTTAGCAATCCCCCCCCCCCCCCAAATTTTTCAGCATTTTTCCAACTGTCCAACTGACTCAAGAATGTTTTTATATTTGACCCAACAAAACTTTACCTTGTTTAAAATATAATATCCTTTCTCTTATTTCTCTTAACTTTTACTTAAAGAAATTCTTGTTTAAGCTCTTTGAAATTATTTTAAAATGTCTACAACAACATAAATATTACTTTGTAATGTATGTTATTTAAAAGAATTAATTGAAAATGTAAAATGAATGTATTATGTAAAAAGGAAAATGTAAATAAATGGGCCTTAAACGTGGTTCAAAAAAAAGTTTATTGCGAATTTCTCAGCGTAAAAATGTATGCTAAAATTCTTTTAATGTTTGAATTAAGAAACAGACGCTTCTACTTCTACTTCTATGTTGATCTCGTCTGTAAATCCGCTGTGCAGACATCAGCGACGAGTGGTGATGTGAAATGTGCTCCATTAAAAACGTGGGCTAAAAACCTGTCCCCCATGTGCGGCACCAGGCGTTCGAGTTAAAATAATGTGTAAACGTAGTGTGAAGTAAAATCCAACATGTTTGTACACTATACACGATTTTAATAATTTACACATATACGTATGACTGGACAGCAGTTTTAAAACTGTCCAGATTGTCCACAGTTGTGATGTTAGTTGGTAAGTTGTTCCAATAAGGTACAGTTCTTGGAAAGAATGAATGTTTGTACGCATTAAGTCTGCAGTGATAAGTGACGAACTTTACCGAGTTTGTGTATCTTGTAGATAGTTGTGGGTGGTATTCAACTGGTACAGCCACCAGGTTATTAAACACTTTATACATAAGAATTAAGTCCGCACACTGACGACGTTGTTCAAGTGTTGGCCATTTTAGGTCGTGTAGCATTGATGTTACGCTAGATGGATTGTTACGATTGAATGGTTTATTCATGACGAATCTTGCCGCGTTCCGTTGTATTTGTTCAAGTTTCTTTGATGTATTAAGTTGTTGGGGATTCCAAATTGGTGACGCATATTCCAGTTTAGGTCGAACCAAAGTTTGATAAGCTCTTTCCTTTACTGTGGTCGGGCAATGTTTTAAGTTCCGTTTGATGAAACCAAGAGTACTAGAAGCTTTTGCTGTGATTGAATCGACGTGTAGGTTGTATTTCATAGTATCTGCTAGTTCAACTCCCGGATATGGATGGTTTTTAACAACATGTAGTGATTGATTTTTCATTTTGTAGTCAAATACAGATTTGTTACGTTTATTTGTTATTGACATGGTTGCACATTTATCGACGTTAAATTCCATTTGCCAGATATTACTCCAATCAACTAAGGTGTCCAGGTCTTTTTGTAAAATATTATGATCTTCACTGGTGAGTATGGGTCTATAAATGACACAATCGTCAGCAAATAGGCGAATTGATGACTTAATATCCGAGGCGATGTCGTTAATATATAGTAAAAACAATGCAGGACCAAGCACGGTTCCCTGGGGCACGCCAGATGTTACCAGTGACGGTCTTGATGATTCTCCGTCTACTACTACTCGTTGATAACGACCGTTAAGGAATTCATTAATCCATAAGTTGGTTTCATTACATATACCATAATATTGCATTTTCACAGAGAGACGCTGATGTGACACTTTATCGAAAGCCTTAGAAAAGTCAAGCACCGCCATATCAACCTGGTGACCAAGATTAACACTACGAGCAATGTCATCTGTAGTTAATAGAAGTTGAGATTCACACGAGCGTTTAGCCCTGAACCCATGTTGGTTTTCATGAAGAATGTTCTGGCTGTCTAAATGGTTCATTACTTGCGAAACTATTATATGTTCAATCATTTTAGAAACAACTGCGGTTAAGCTTACAGGGCGGTAGTTCGATGGTTTGGTTCTGTCGCCTTTTTTGAAAATTGGTACAATGTTAGCGTTTTTCCAGTCCAATGGTACTTCAGATTTATCAATTGACTGTTGGAATAAAGACCGTATAATTGGTGCTATGACAGACAACTTTTGACATATTTAAGAGATTTTGATACTGTAATAATTTTTTGATTGTTCGTCATATTTTAGTTCATGATATTGTAATTTTTCGACATATTTCACTTTTAGATACTTTAATTTTCGACATTTTCCAGATTATAATATATTGCGATATATTATGACGATAGTGTTTCGTTCTGACTATGGCTGAGAATTTTCGGCCTACATCGTACCAAACAATGTGACACTGTTATTTTTCGACATATTTGATACTGTGATACTGTCACGTGTGTTAGATGATAAAAGAGTTTCGTTTATTATCAATGCTTATTTCTAGAACAATATATATTGATGACAATACTCATCTGGTATTGTTAAAACTTAGCGCTATTTTAATTAACTTCTTGTCATTTTTGCAATAAGATAACAGTAAAGGAACAGTCTCAAAATAAAAACTAGGTAAATCACTAAAGTAATTATCTGCATGAAAACTTAACATTTCACATTTTCCGTATTTAATAGTGTATTTGATACTTTAAACAGAGAAAAGAGTTCTCGCATAATGAACGAACGTTAAAAAAGGTATTTATGTTCTTCGGTTAGGCTAATAAAGAGTTAGATGTAATAAATTTGGCACTTCCTTGTTGATATCTAATGACTTTGTAGGCTAAGGGCACATGTAACACATGTACGTTTACAGATATATTTATTTTTGTTTATTTATATTAACCTTTTTTCATTTGATGTTTGAACTGTGCAATGTAATTCGAAATCGAACTGCCAAAACAGCATTCTGGTCTTACGGCAAAGTTGTATATATACAAGTGATATAATATGCAAGTTGATACCACCAAAACATTCAGAAGTTTCTTGCACCAATTTTAATCTTAACATTTGTTTTTGTTGATGTCTTAACACTTACAGTTTGTTGCGCATAGTCCTCTTTTATGTCTCAGAATGTCCATTGGTAAAAGGAATTATAAAGCAAATTAGAAATATTGGCTTATAAAAAACTTTTAAAAAATCTTTCTTATAAAAAAACATGCGTAGTAAGCATAATTATCTATGATCTAAGAAACTTTTGCTTCATTGAGCATAATACAGAAATAATATTTATATCTCTTTTGAAAGGTATCGAAGATTGTTTTTCAAAGGAAAAGAAGGAATTTTCTGACAAAAGAAAATTATAATGTAGCAGTAACTGAATAAAATAACAACTCAAAATTTAATCGTTTATTAAAAGATAACAAATAAAGTATATGTTTCAGAAAAAAATGTAAAAAATATAATGCATCTGTATATTCATAGTTTAATTTAAAGTGACATTATGCTTATATTTTCATAGTCAAGTTGAGCTTAACTGACTATATATTTCAAAATATTGACTGTTAATATGGTGATTGGCCAACAGTTCCTTTTTGAAAATGTTTGGGATAAAATTTAAAACTGTCTAAAATATAAAAAGACTGCCCCACTCTTTTTATGAACTGAACGTTACAGGTAAATTCAAATGGATAATTACGAAAAATCATTTGGATTATTGTTTAATGTGAAATAATTTGTTATATTAAAAGGAATTATGGCAAAATGAAAACTTATTTTGACTTTCACCTGTCCCTTGGATGGACAAAATGTCACTTTAAGGACGAAAATTGTTTGTCTGAATCTGCAAAGCCTAAAGCGTATAACAGGCCGTTGGTTCTTGTGCCTGATCGAGCCAGAGTTAATGCATGGCAGGGCGCCTGAGGTTTTCCTCCATTAGTAAAACTGGAAAGACATCTTGCGACCTCAACCGTGTCAATCTGACTTAAAACCAACCCTAAGTGTTCATATTTGCTCTATAGAGGGGTCTAGTTAAGTTTAGGTTTGCGCAATTTAAGTTTGCATCTAAAAGGAATGAATTTTTCATCTATGTTGCAGTCTTTTCATTATTCGAAATAAATTAACAAATACAAATGGTATTTTAGCTAAAAGTAATGTATTTGCTAACATTTTCAAAATACTGACATGGGTTTTTCGGATGTATCGTTAAACTTAAAAAGTTTCTTAAATTTTAACAATAAAATTATTACATATCACATATTATCACAGGTCTTAAATAAGGTAGTACATCTTACAGTCATACATTTGAACAACATGTCGCTATAACTGTACATGTTAGTATTTGAATTATAATTGCTTATTAGTATTTTATTGAATAAGTTGGTAGGGTTATGTTGCTTTTATGTTAAAATAGATTTTAAAAAAATGCTATCGAAAAAGAAATCGAAAAATTATAAAAGAAAATGAGGAACAGCGGTTATACTTGTGTGCGAGTACCGTAATTAATGTTAACCAATATTCTGGAACAAAAAACAATGAAAACGAAATTGAATGTGAAATTACATACTCGGATGGAATGAGTTTGTTCATGACAGATAGCGAAAGTTGTGAAATATCTCACTCCCCCTAGCACCGGTCTAAGAAGTATTCAATTCCCAACACAAAAAGAATTAGAATCTATCATATGTACCCCGAAGGATCTGACATTAACACCCTGGTCATAAAAATACATTCATGTACACAATTTAATCCATAATGTTTTTTTTTTGTATGTGTGTGTTATTGCTTTTTCTTCTGAATTTGTGACAAATACTGATTTGTTTATAGTACAATTCGACAATTCGAAAAAAAAATATAATATTGCATTTTATAAACCAGTTATATCAATTAAAAGTTAAATATGTTGTACCTACGAGAAATCCGATTTTACTTTCGATTTTATTCCTTTTAAACCGCTACATATTCTCATTTTCTTATAAATTTTAGTTCGGTGATTTGTTATGATGATATAAATTATATATGAACATAAGTCTAACCAATAGTTGTTTTCGAATAAAAATGAAAGCTAAACTAACATATTCATGTGTGCACGTCTGTGTGCATAGAGATTTCATTCGTATAACAACTGGAATAAAAAACGTTTTGTCATTGTGACTATGTAAGAATGTGTTTATCTTAATATTTCAAATGCTTTTTGTATGAAAAAATATAGCAAAAATTATCTTGGAACGAAATACAAAATACATAATGGCTTATAAATTTGCACAAAAATAACCCGTTTAACTATCGTTCATCTTAAACATACGATAACATATGATGTTCCAGAGTTCATTAGGAAATTAAGGAATTCTCTTTCTTCAAACTCTGGAGACCTAACACAGAAATTATTTTTCTCAAAAATATCACAGTATGAGGAGGCCAATTTAACGGCATAGGATTGTGTAATACTTGAAACTGAGCGACTTTGTTTATATTGTTCGCTGTTAATCAAACACAATGTTTTCAAATGACATTGCTATTGATTAGAAACTAATCCTCAGGAGGTAGTTGATGGACCTGGATTCTTTTTGCTGCAATCAACTTGTCTAGTTTTACAACATCACGGTAATGTGGAATCAATGAAGGATCTAGTTCCGGTGGGATATATTCAGGTGGCTCCTCAATAACTGGTGGTGGATGAATCGTCAAGTCAACCGCTTTCATAGTTTCAAAGCGTTTAATAGCTTTCAGTCCTTGTTTGAGGTCTTCTGCGCGTGCGCGAGTATGATGACGGCGCCATCTGGCTAGAGCAACTGCGGCGATGTCTTCTTTTGGTCCACGCGCACCTTCTATAGCAATACTTGCAATGTCTTTTTCGATAGTTTCAGATCCTCGTGTAGGGAAGAACGGCAGTTTTCGGTATAGCTGAATCCAGTCCTGGTCTATATGTTTGACTACAACGGCACATGCTCTGTCCAAAGTACCTGCAAAATATAGTTTCGAAATATATTTGCCGTTCATATTTAAGCTTATATGATATATGTCATTAGTATTACCCCTTAATAAATGATAACCGAAGACTAAATTAAAATTAAACAAAATGTGTTCCCTTTAAAAGATATAATAAATTTGAACCTCAATATCTTCTGAACGTAAACTAAAAAAGGTACTTCCGATAATCGCTGGAGCTTTTATGATGCATTGGCACACAATAAAAGTAAAAGATATAAAATAATTATGATTGATTTTATCTATATTTTTTTATCAAATTGCAACATTTTGATAAGAAAATGACAAAAGTGCCGTTACCTTGTCTAATTTCAAATTCATATATGTTGCACAGCAACTTTCTTTCTTAAACTGATATTATTTCAAAACCATGCTAAAGAAATTGAAAATAAGTATATTTTAAAAGTGCTGAAACGTTTAATGTGAGACAGTACAATAAGGAAGAAACATAAAATAAAATTAGAATGGTATAAACTTTTTAAACACATTAAAGAACCAAATAAGTTGTCGATATTTACCATCTGTTCCATTTGAAATGCATGGTAGTTTCCCTTTATTATGCCTGGCAGTGATTGGTAAGTCATAAAAAATCTTAGAAACAGAGTCATTGCTTGTTTTGTGCAGCAATAACCTTCTCGATACTTCCAGAGTTTTCTCGATTGTCTCGAATTCCGCTTCGCGTTTACATTTGTCCTTTACAGCTACTTTTCCATCTCGTTTTAATAGCGTTATCTCCTTCTCCATCTTCTCGAGATGGTGTTTACGCTCCGTCATCCATTCTCGTCTATGTTGTACTGTTGCTAGTTGTCGTTTAAACCCCGGTAGATTCTCTTTCAGAATACGTATTTCCTCGTTCAAATTATCCCATGTAATTGCTAAAGATTCTATATCTGCATCTAATGGTTTATTCCTAAGATCATCTCTTCGGCCTTCTTTGAACTCCATGTCCAATTCTAGTTCATTGCACTTGTTTATGAGAAATGTTTCTTCGATTTCGTTGGCTTCCTCTTTTTCTTGAAGATGTTCAAGTTCGTGCAAAAGTTTTGCATATTCAGTTTCCGCCTGATTGACTTTATACATAGCCGAATGGTAATGTTCTCGTGCTTCGCGCATTACTTTTGTCTGTTCTTCTTTTTGTCGTTCTAAATCAGTGACGTCATTATGAAGAAAAACACTATAGTTTTCGTCAGATTTTAACCACTGTACCATAATTGAAAGAACAGTTCTTATGTTGGTACACGCTTCAGCAAATAGCAAGAGAAATGGGACAATTTCACATTCATTCCTCTGACAAAATGTTGCCACAGTGGAGGTAAACATAGTGTGATGAATTCCTCTGTTTTTAAAATGAACCATTAATTCATTTATTTTTCCTAAGGTCTCTCGAATTACTCGTTTCCATGTTCGAATCTGTGTCTCGTAATGCAGGGCTGTTTCTACTTCTATTTCACCATCTGGTTCATAAAAACTGATACAATATTTTTCCAAAAGTTCAAGCATTTTCTCACATAACTCAGTTACATCTGCAAATTTACCTGGGACAAACGATTGGACTTTTGCGTAAACTTCTTTTAAAAGGTTTACATTTTCAGGGTCACCTTTGTACCTTTTTGGGTCTGACCCGTATTTTAAGGCTGCTTCAATCGCCTTGACGGATGGCAATTCGAAATACCCCAGCATGCGTACAAGAATCTTAATTGGCGTTGCGTATTTTTTCACCTCGTGGTTCAGTGATTTTCCGACACCATAGTAAGACCGTTCCAATCTTGTGAGCTTTTTCTGAATTGTTTTTATTTCATCAGAAAGTGCTTGTCTGATATCTTTAAGGCTCGATGGTGGATGCGTTTCTAACTGCTGAAGACGTGATTTTGTTTTGGCAGCTATGTCCTCAATTGGAAGAAGAAATGGGCCTTTATTTGCTAGGGTCGGCATTCGGAAGTCCAGAACAGGGCGCATCTGTAAATATATAGTTAAATTTTAACATCAAATAAACGTATGTACATTTATTACACTTATTTTGTTAATGGGCATATTGCCAATATGAATCAGTAAAGTTGCATTAATATAATTGTAATATGTCCTTGCGAATATGAAAACTACGAATTGTCCATATCCCCAACTTGGATATCAATTATTGCACGGGTTTCGTCTGTTTTTTGCTGTTTTTTTTTTTTGTTGTTTTTTTTCAAACAAATAAAGGCACTAATTATCCTTATTGGGTCAATGTAAAGAGTGCAAATCGGAAAAGCCAAACGCGATTGAAATATTAGCATGTTTATCAAAAAGCTTTTGTTTTGAAAGCGTATTTATTTTGGTATTGTCGGTTTACAAATACAAATCATATTGAACATAAATATATGTAGTTATTCTGACATTGCACTCATAGATAAAGGCAATACGTTTCATATAGAAATCATGATATCACAAAATTGATTCAATGAAGTTTAGCAGTGCCACGCAACGTTGTTATTTGAAACATTTAACAATATCACTTTCGCGCGATACTCAATCAATCGGCGTTCTACAGAAATCTATTCAAACAAACCTTAAGTCAATAAAATAAATAATACATAATCCATCGTAAAATAAAGATCTAATAAAACTTGACAGAAGATTTACGTACAACCGTTATTTTTATCAATTTGTTAAAGTTTGAGAAATTGAAGGGTAATATTTGCGCAAGATATCATTCAACTTTGTGCTTTTCTATCACGAGGTCTACCGGTATTGTACGTTGATGTTTACACATTTTTGTGTATCATATAAGCAATCATTATTAATGGTTTGTCAACATGCTTTATCATTTTTGGGTTGTTGTTGTTGTTGTTGTTGTTGTTGTTGTTGTTGTTGTTGTTGTTATGTAAAAAAAGAAAGCAATACGGTATTTATAGTACGTATAAAGAGTTATACGATATTGATGCCAATTTTTACGTACATTGTACATTGCTCAAAAAATAATAATGACATCATTATTTTTATCTTGATAACACACATGAATATCAATTAAACTTAAAAAAACACTCAATTATTTTTGGTTTGAAGCGTTGTTTTTGGACATGTATGTACACCCAAGTGTGTCCACATTTCATTTGTATTTTTTCAATAACTATACATGTATTCAACCGTTACACATTCGTTTTAACTTTGCTTTTGATTCAAACGGTATATATTTTATAGTGACTTTGTTTCATGAACAGATGTGGATCAGCTAATAAATTATTTACTGTGTCAAAGTACAGACTTTATCTGTTGTAAAATTTACTTTAAAACCGCAAATATATTCTTCTATTAATCGAATGTTTAATCAGCTAAATAATAAATAGTTTCAAAATATAAATATCTATTAGTCTGTAAGTGTTTTGTTTGGTGTTCGCAACCAGACAACGGAATTGATTTCTTATCTGCTGTCTGCGGAAATTATCAACGGAAATTATTAACGGAAATTATCGTCCAAAAGCTTGCTATTTCTATTCAGGTTACACACTTCTTGTTGATTCAATTGATTAAAATTATTATTCAATACAGAACTAAGTAAACTGAAAGTTATTTTATGTCAATCAAAAACAGTCGGAGGTAAAAAAAAATGTATATGGCCTACTAAATGAATCTATGAATCTATCAATAAATTAGAAATTTAACTTCTGATACAGAAGGGTTTCTGCTTTTAATTGTGTAAACAGATAACGAGCCAATTCAGCTTTGGTCTTTAGTATGCGTTATGTTTATTTGCTAAGTTAATATAAATGCTAGAAAGCTTGTATCTATAAAGGTCCATTAAGCCACAGAAATACAATAATTTTTATTACTCAAATACATTGTATTTTAGTATATATTTACCGGTTCACTTGCCACATATATGAACTATCTTTTGATTTCTTTGCTCTGTTGGTATTTGGTATAATTATAGTGAATAAGCATTTTGGTGTGGAAGTCAAAATACTATTTTGTTTACATTTTGCTACCTTTACGTTCCCGTTCAGCGCTACTTAATTAGGTTGTAAAACATCTTACATGCCCTAAATCTAATACATTATTAAACACATGTTTGACATTTCTAAACAATAAAAAATATGGATTTCTGACGAATAGCGTGTCTTTAAAAGTTCACTTAAATCGAAATGATGCGCTTTTTTTAAAGTTCTGTCATCTTTTGTGAAAATATCGGAAAGAAAATGAAGAGAATGAATTCATGTTAGAGATATACATATTAAATTATTTCAGCTACAATAAGGGAAATGTATTAATCTTTTCTAAATTTGCTATACCATTTTTTCTGATAATAATCCTAGCGCAAAAAGAAGGCTACGTTTCCGCCGGCAAATAAAATAGACCAGATAGGAGAAAAAAATGAAACTTGCAATTTTAGCAATTATATCTTCCATATTGAAAGTAAAGAAAGTTTAACCGAGTACATTTCTTTATTTATTAGAACGCACTCGTTATCTAGAGCTTGTAAAAATATCAAAATGTCCTTAAAGCGGCTACCGTAATTTTTTGATTACTTAGGGAATGAAATTACAGTTTTAAGAAATAAATCACTGCAATAAACCGGTGCCTACGAGGGTTTGAAGACGCTTGAAACAAAATTTACAACTTTAATTTCATTACATACCCGAGAGTGGATGATGATATAAAATCATATCATTTTATTTTAAGTCTAAATTTGTTCAATGTTATAAATGCATGCAACTTATTTCCAACTACTATTTGATCGTGGTTTTGAAAGAGAAAATATTTTAATACATATTTAAATATATTGAGAGCGGTTCGCTTAATTGCGTTTATATAGGGCAATATTTATTTCACACATTGAATTACATGTATCTATTCAATAGTTTCCTGATTTAATCATAAGTTTGCATATAAATAGAATAAATTTGTGCTATTTCCATCATATTTTTGAATAATTCTGCATCTCATTTTGACAATGATCGATACGGATTTGCCTATTTTGCCATTTTTTGCATAGCACAATTTGGAGTGATATATTTTCATAGAGTAAAAAATAGCTAAAACGGTATATACATGTATATGTATATAAACTTCTATGCAATATAATGGCGCGCCATTTAAATTCTCTTTAAAGGCCAGTGTTTTTGTTGATGTTTGTTGTTGTTGTTGTTGTTTTGGTAGTGGTGGTGGTGGTGGTTGTGGTTTTCTTCGTCTATGAAGGTGCGTAGAAAATGTAACTATTTTTGCCAAAATGAATAAGTTTTAAATATGACTGAACCATATTCAATCAAAACTTATTTCACATTTATTATTAAAACTTAACAAAAAAAATCGTCCTCTGTGAATTGAATAGATAATGATGTCACTTCAAAAGAAACATTTTATCATGACGATTGAAATCAAACTACTTCAAAATATTTCATATAAATAATCAATTATCTACTTTATGAAAATAAGCGAGGAAAAATGATTACCGAAGTTCATTATGTCAGTGTATTTTGTCAGGTCGAATGAAATCCACACAAAAGAAACGATTTGTATGCGTCTATCAATTAAATTGGATTGAAAATATTTCTATGCTGTTGAAATTTTAATTGAATGTAATATTGTGAAGATCGTGCGTCGTTCCTAGGCAATTTGAAACATCGGCTAAAGAAAATCGGTTTGTAAGTATAGGGTTTATCTAAATAACTGGGAAAGAAATTTTAAGTCGTGTGTGTAAATTATATAAAAAAAAAGTAAAATGAAAATTTTACCTAATAAATTATTGCAAAAACACATCACTTCCTTAAATCAAATGGCAAAAAAAGAAGAAGAAAAAACACATACCGGTATGCTTTACTATTTAACAGTTAAAAAAATGTTTTGCTAGATAGCTCTTAAAAATGAAAGCTTGAAGAAAATTGAGCTTTAAATGGAAAATAGAGCAACGCCTTTAACCAGGACCAAGATGCGGTGCGCCGGTGAGACATTATGTGCTGGAAGAAACAAGTTCAATCCCTAGTGGTGTTTGTTTTCTTATCAGTTGGAGACGAGTCATAATTCGTGTGATTCAAAATGCATCTCAATTATTTTTATTCAAAGTATAAAAGTAAATTTTATGAATTTTTGAAAGAAATTTCACTTGTGAATATTTGTTCTGCTAAGATTTGAGAGGGGTTTTTTTGTGTTTTTTTATATCTTATATTTCTTGCATTTCAGATTCAGCAAAGATTCGTATTTGCCTCAATTAAACGGTTACCATCAACCTCGTCTCTCGGCTTCGATTAAGATATTCTGATCAGTACCAGCTGGTGTAATATTACTATAATTGGATGCTAAAGAGGCAGGCTGTTTATAACAAAACATAAATAATAGACCCTTGATTTCGAATAATATTCAACAAAATGATATCATAATATTGGCGATAATACTTTTTCTTTCTTATGTTAATCCTCATTAAACATATGTTAAATTCTGGTAGCCTCTAAGTTACTTGACGTGTCGGGTAATTTTTACATTGACTACATTGCGTTGATCATGATATTACTTATAATGATAATGAACTATTTTCAGATCTTGCTTGCTTGTTTGTTTCTGGTGAATACATGTATATAGAATATAAGAATATATATCACATTAAGGATTGAGAATTGAAAGATATTGTTTCAGGAGCGAAAAGTCCTTGTTAAAGACAAAATAGTCTACCTTCAAAGTGAAATATAATCCATATTTAGTCAAAACAAGCAAATAATTCTTAATATTACGTTAATATTACGTTATATTCTATAGATGATAGATATTTTGTGCTCTTAAACTGGTCACACATTACCAAAACACAATTACAAGTATATGACGTCAACGTTACGTCATGAAATCTTTGTACGTTATGCATTCCACTTTGTATAATATTCCATTGATCATAACGAGAACAAAAATTTTATGTTCTAGTCAATTTCAAGCAATGTGATATCACTTATTTTTCATTAATATGTCTCGTGAAAAAGCACGCGATATAATTTCATTTTCACTTACCCGCATGCCCATTCTGTGAGGCCTTATCCATATTTTATTATTAACACTCATTATTTCACATATATATATAATCGACAATCACGTCATGTTACGATCAAATAATTCACATCGTTTTGTTACAGCGTTAAGTCAAGAACTTTAAGCTAAAACTATCAGGTAGTGAAATGTTTGCTTTTCTACCTATACCCGGTAGATGTCGTCTGCTTTTGTACGAAAAGAAACATAAACAGAGCGTTAAAATATTGAGTAGATTTCATTTAACATTTCACCCTACAGTTAACCCATATAGGTCTCCTGTAGTTATCACCCTATTAAATGATACGGAGGAAAATTATCCGCGTTCGTAACTAAGGTCTAATCATTGGATACCCGGTGAGCCTTTTTAAACAAACTCCTGTACGATACTTCTGTATGGGTTTATTTGAAAGCGATTGATTTCTACGAGGTTTATCAATAACTCTTTCTATGTTCGGTCATTTTTCAACTTTGATATCGAGCAGAACGATAAAAGTGGCAGCGGAAACGACGTAAACTGGCTTTTGTTTGGCGCAGAGAAACTCGATTGAAAAGGTCTTTGAGAAAACAAGAACAGAGTTCTGTATTAATAAGTTAATCGAACATGCTAAAAAAAGTATATGAACTGTATCGAAAAACATGCAATTAATTAAGTGTGTTGTTTTTTCTTTCCACTTTTCTCCGTCGATAATTAACACTAGGTACAATAAACCTTTTTGTAATATTAGATTTTAGTAAATCGTTGGTATTAGTAAATTAAAGTGTTTGCATTCACTGTGACATGTTTCATTAGATTTTTTATTTCTTGTTCTTGTGAATTTATGGAAAAATGACCCCTTTTATGAACTTCGTTTTAAAATGTACGGAAAAGACCATTCCTCACGTGTGTTCAATTGTAAGTGGTTGTTAATAATTTACGAAGAAAAGGTGTCGGTTAACACAGGTACAAGTTTTACTAAAAACCATTTAATATGTTTTTAAAAGTTTTACTTTGTTGAATTTAAGAATTTATGAGAAAAAATACCCCTTATATGGACCTTGGAAAAAGCCGATTCTCGCGTGTGTTCAATTGCTATTGGTTGTATATAATTTATAAAGAAATGGTCTCAACTTACAATGGTCGATTTTTCACTAGAACCATTTTTTCCGTTTAATATTTTCTAAACAAAACGTTTTATAATTGATTTTTCTGACATTCAGAAACAATCACATACGTTTTTCCTGGGATCAATCGGTGCATATTTCATACAAGGAAATTTTAGGTTGTTACCGGCTGTTACCGAGTATGGCTCGAACCCACGATTCCAAATTTGAGAAACAGACATCTTTCCATTACGTTTCTCTTGTCACATGAATAATGTGAACATTTTATCAATGTTTTCTTGTCAGTGTTAAAACTCTTCATGACTAACTGCAAGTTAATACCGTTAAAAAAATCTCTATTTTATGTGAGTTTGATGGAATATTTAACAGGCATGCGCTTTACATATTGAGCGTTTGAGCAATTTGATATAAGACCTTTGCCACGAGTATCGGAACATCACGATGATTTTTCCGAATACTGGCGGGAAATGTCCGAAAAATTGCGATTGTATAACAGGGTCAAAAATGTACTTCAATGTGGTTTGGCCAGTATGGCGGCTGACTTTTGCAACTTCGTGTCTTCGCCCCTCAAAAATCGAAGGCAAGATAATAGGCTCACTTATCAAATTTGAGGGAGTGGACACGAAGGCGCGAAATAACGATATTTTGATTGGCGAAGAAATTGACCTTGACACTTAATTATGAAGAATGGTGGACTCTCAACCGAGAGGTCGTGGGTCCGAGTCTCATCGATGATGATCGAAAGACAATCTCATTACCTGATTCTCTTTCGAGTCCCTCAATCCAAGCACTCTGAGGTTGTGCGAAAAGTGATTATGCCATTCAGGAAACACTCTATTAGCGCGACTTAAAGCGCCTATCTAGATCGCTAAAATGGGTTTAACATAAATAGAGGGGAAAAAAACAAATGCATTAAAAATCGAAGTAATGACAATGTATCAGTTCGTTGTTTGAATAATTCTATTTTCTGTCCTGTATACTTATTGGTATTTCTTCAACCTAATCAAAGTCTGTCAAAATAGAGTGAGGCGTCCATGACAACTTTTATCGGACAACGGTTAGTATACAACTCAAAATGATTTTTTAAATTACTTAAATATTTATAAACTAATATCTTTAACATTTAAAGAATTTGTCATCTCCCAAACTATTTTTCTGTCGTCTGCATTTTATATCTTAATTGAAAGCTTAAAACATTATATTAAGTTTGTTTGGACAAAGAATTGATCGTTGGCAAGTCAAGAAACTTGGCTGTGTAAATATTTTTGCAAGAGATCGTGGTTCTTGAAGAATTTTAGTATGGTATTTTATTCATGGAATGGAATACATTTACATTAACGCCCTAATGTTAAATTTCTAACGTCCACGAAATGACTTTTAATTTCTTTTTTCATCTAAAGTACGCATGGAAAAATATCAAAAAGAAATTATGGACATTCTTGTATAATGATTTTTCTTTTCAATTATAAATTGGAATGTCTTCTATTTTATTTATCTTTTTTCTGTCGTGCCACACGCGAATTGGTGCTGTGGCGTGTTTCCTTAGATTCAAAACATATACTTGAGTGCAAAAGCACTTTAAAAGGTTTATTAGTACTAGTACTAATAAAGAACTAAAGTACTAGTTATAGTTCTCGTCTGTTCCGACTCGAGTATTGACTGTTCTTTAAACCTGGAATGTGATTTTAGCCATTTACCTGCTGAATTTCTGAAATTGAATAACTCATCTTTGAATTTCAAACAGTCCATTTAACATTTCGGGGATTTCAATATAAAAATACTAAAAGTTGAGCTACCAACAATATAAAGGCTGGACATACTGCACGAACGGTATTGGTAAAAGTTTTTTCAGTTCCAGTTAAGACTCTACAAGTCATAAAATATTAAAAAAAAATTACCTTCAAACTTCCAGATCGCAATGACCAGTTTCCGGGGTCACTGTGCATAGAACCTCCAGTCCAGCTCCGAGCCGGTTTCAGGGAGAAACTATGCGACTTCCGGATAGGAACTAATTTTACTGAATTCGACATATTGAATCACTTATTTTAGGCAGCTTTTATTATCCATACACTTATTTCAATCTTCAGTCATTTTTAAGACAGATTTCCCTTTAACCGATATAGTATATATTTTCGTCAGACGAGATTTAAGCGACGTATAAAATATGTTTAAATCTCATCAAGTATGAAAATAAATATCCCAATGATACATAATTATGACATATTTATATCCGCTAGTTTTGACAGTTCAATAGTGAAATATCTATGGATACGACTTAGAGAAATCATGTTATGACATAGTCCGTAGTTCCCTTGACAAACTAAAGTATTATCCCTTTTTTATCAATGAAGATAATCCTTCAACGCGTAATTGATTATGCACTCATATTTTTTGACAATGAAAAAAGGTAAACAATTAATGCGATATCTGTTTGAACTTTTCAATCAATTTGTCCTTTCGTTTGCGACGTGGTTTAAAAGAACAGACACCGATAAAATCAATGTTTAGATGTACTAGAGTAAATGTCTGATAACCATTTAACATACACCCCGATATAGTGTCAAGTTAAGCATTCAGATCATTTTTAATGACATTTTCTTTTTTTAAATCATTGCAAAATGAAATGATCCGTTGCGATCAAACCTGTGAAAAATAAAGGCCTATCAAAACTTTTAGATGGGTTTTGGTCGTTTTTAAGTTAATGGTTTGAAAATTAAGCCACGAGAAGTCAGCGATGCATGCGTTGTGTCTGATATTTTTGGGATGGTATGTTTTTAAGCCAGTCCTGATGAATTTGTGTATCCTCAGGCCCCGTGTTCACAAAGATTAAAGGATCAAGTTCAAGATCAGGATCAATTTTTTTAAGAACTCATATATTCTCCGTTGTTTATCCTCATACATTAAATATTTAATATTACTTGACAAAACTGTACTTGAAATAGCATGTTTATGAAATTTTAGAATAAATTTATTGTTATTTTTGCAAGATACCGGCATTTTACGGTTGATTCAAATATTGACCTTGATCCTTAAATTGATCCTTAGTTTGATCCGATTATGTTTGTATTTGTCTTGTTATTCCTTGGATTATCCTTAAATAGGTTAGTTTCTTTGCAAATTAGCAATGTTTTACATTTTGAATATGCACCCTTTAATTGTAGCAAAAAAATCAATCAATTTTAGATTTATAAAACAATGAAAATAAAATCAGGATCATTTGATCCTGATCTTGATCTTTTCTTTGTGAACACAGGGCCAGAACTTTTCATTTTTAAGAAAAATTGAATTTGAAAAAAATTAAAATGATATACTAGTGTAACCAATGTTGTAGAGTCTAGTCTCAGAATGCATGGGTTTTGCAGGCTAATCTAGCTGTATGCTTCTTGCACATTCGTGTTAGTATGGCAAGTAATGGTTGTATATGTATGTAAGCTTATATTGGGAAACAAACACTTGTATTTTCATACTATATTAGTATTACATGTTGAACAAATATTACGAGTATGAACTGATATAATAAATCAGTTTCTGATTGCTTTTATTCTTTTGAGGTTCTTATATTTGGATTGTCGGGTATATCTCCTGTTACATTATGTTCATTGAAGGGGATAAGTTAGATCTATTTGAAAATAACGCTAGAGGCGTCTGGTGCATTTTATTCTTTTCTATATGAATCATTATGGCGTATACAAATTTAATCTTCTAAATAAAGAAATAAAGTGTAGGCCCGAAGCTAAAAGGACCTTCCGGATCTGCATCGTTAGTTTTTTTTTCCTTTTTGATAGCAAAAAAAAAGACATTTGAAAAAAAAACTAACAAATGTTGTAGACTAAATGCCTCCAATGTTAAGTTAAAAAAACTCCAGGAAACTTGAATTGCCTTAAGAAAAACCTCGAGAATCAGCTAAATCTTAACAAATATATACTAGTCAAACTAAACCGAAGACGTGAGAAACGAAGAAACTAACATTTTAACTATGTTTAAAATGCTATATAAGTTTATGACGTGTGTATTGAACACTTTTGGTTAACAACCTTCCATTTACTACAAATCTCTTTTCAAATTTAGAAATTCACTGAACAATAGTCTTTTGTCTGTGACAATGATATGTCCAACCCTTAACCTATAATAGTAATATTATCATTCATTTAAATCTATAACAATGTGAAAGCACTTGTTCAAGTAACAAATGCTCTTTTCGCTTCAAACAAAACAATGATCTTTGCGTTAAAATCAATGTAATTACTGCTGATTATTATCTTTCCCAAGATTGCTTTCATGTCTTCTCAAGTGAAATTGTTACAAAGTTATTAAAAAATATGTAGAACAATACAAAAAAAACAATTATATCTGAAAAAAGTATATTACAAATACATTTTTAATGACTTTTATGCAAAAAACCGGACTGTTTGACACGCACTTTTTGACACAAAGTTTCGAGAAAAGATAAAATATCTTTAATTTTGTACTTATTGTCTTCACACGGTTTATGTGGGCCGGTGATCTGTGGTAATGCGCAATTGTTATTTTCTTGTTGTAACAAATAAGGTTATATCTTAAAAGAGAGAGAATATCGGGGAAAAATACCGACCTTGTCGTTGCCGAAAGAATTGTTGACCTTATACCGCTGTTTCGATTACACTTACGGACGTCTTGAAATCATGGCCTTTTAAGTTTTGGATTAAATTTGGCATCTCGGAAACTAATAATTGTATGGCTTTTGGGCATAAAGTGGCTGAAAAAACGTCCAAGTTTTCGTTTATAAGTTTTAAATATTGAAAACACAATGACCTTTGAAAAATAATCAAAACGCCGTAACCCTTTAAAAACACCCCTGTAATGAATATTAAAAATTATATAGCCGGGGTCACGAAAAAAACCAAACATAATGGTTTTTGCGCCCCGGGGACCCAAACCACCTCGCATCGCGATCTGATCAGATCATCTGTTCGTATATTTTCTTTACATTTTTAAGGGTTGTAAGCGAACGCATGGACCCTGATCAGACTGCGCGGATGCGCAGGCTGGTCTGGATCCATGCTGGTCGCAAACGCACTATGTTGGTTTTGTCGTGACGCGGCTCATATGAGAAATTGACAGACTCAAGTATTTTGTTATTCCTTGTATAAAGATAAAACATTCGAAAAAATAAGTAATATTTATTTTGTCAAATTTAAAAATGTTACAATGTTAGGCAGTTTGTTGTATATCAAAGAGTACTTAGGTAGTTAGATATATGGATTTTGTTTATTCTATGCGTCTTTGTTTATTCTATGTGACTTGTTTGTTTGTTTGTTTGTTTGTTTGTATGGGAGGGGTTTAACGGAATAACCATATTCTTTACTAGTAGATGTATCATTTCAAAGGAACTAAGGCAACTGCTTTAAAAAAAATGATATTTTTACGTATCAGAATACCAGGTTACATACAGACTGACATAATTGATTTCATTGAACTATAAATATATTTCTTTCAAATTTCGGACGCACCAAATCCCAGGTTTTTTCTTCTTCGTGTATTATGAATTAATTTGATATTCACTGAAGTGACGGAACTGAGAACCAAAATCAACCAAGTAGGACTTATAAATTCAATTTCGCTAAAGAATACGAGACAATTACATTTCCATAAGTCATTCCAAAGGTTTTTTTCACACTCGGGTTATCAAATTTAGTTCTCCATATACGAATTAATGGCGCTTTTATTATAGAGACAATAACTTTACAGATCTCAATGTTTGAACACTTACTGACACTAAATGTATCTGGTTTCCATAGCTATATTTATTTTCTGTTAACAAATTAGGTTATGATAGAAAATAAGACATCTCCTGTTTACGTTTTGAGAGACTGGTTTTCATCCTTTATATATTTCTGCGAACAGTATAGCACCAGACCAGTCTGTGCATCCGAGCAGTCTGATCAGATTATTTCCTGTTGGTAGCTCACTTTTTGCATTTTGATAGAAATTTAAATGGACTGTTTTAAATTCAAAGCAGAGCCAATTCACTTCACAAATTCAGCAGGTGAATGGATGAAAAATCTATAAAAAAAATATTCAGTTCGAGGTAAGAACAAAACAATTATCTTTGTGTCTTTTTTTGGATTTTTAACAAGGATCGATAATTCAAATATTTTTTATCATATAATCTCCCTAAATATAAGTATTTAGCCTACCTTTTTGTACCGCTCACTCATTTCTGCAAATCTAAATTCCCAAAATGTTTAATTCAAGCCATAATGAATAACTTATTCTGTGTGCAGTAAAAAATTAAACTGAAATCGTCACTTCGAGTACTTCATTAAGTGTATTAAAAACTGTCTTTTAAATAAAGTGTATGGTAATTGAATATATTTGTTGGTTTTTGAGATAAAACGGGGTTTTAACTTTGTCCTATTTTAATGGAATTAAAGTCTTTTTAGTTTGTATTCCTTTTAAAGATCATTCTCCTATATAACTATAAGAATAAACAATTTAAGGAACATACTTGAACACTTTAAATTTAATGGTATGTCTTTTTTTTAATGAAAAAGGTAAACTTACCTTTAAGGTTCATCAGGTTTATTTTTTTTTTTTTTTCATTATTTTCTTATGGGGGGTGGGGTTGTATTGTGTTGGTTATATTTTGCTGTCGTTATTGTTGTTGTCGTTATTGTTGTTGTTGTTGTGTGTGTTTTTCTTTTCTTTTTTTCTTTTTTGTTGTTGTTTTTTGTCTATATGTTTATTTATTTTTTTATTTATTCAATCATTTTATTTTATTTTTTTTATCATATTTTATTTTATTTCATTTCATTTTAATTTATCATAGTTTATTTGATTTAAAATCCTTTTTATTTTTGCTGTTCTGTTGCGGTTTTCAAAAGCAAAATCATTGGCCTTTCAAATAAGTGAACTATTGCTTTTTGGCAATAACAGTTAGAGTGATTTAGTTTTATTTAATTGAAGTCAAAATACCACTTTGTTTACATTTGGCTACTTTTAAGGCATGTGTTTTCACAGATCGTTTAATAGTCAGTGCTATTGTCATTTTAACATTCTTTAAATCTGTAATTTAAGTGTTGCAAAAGCACATGTTTTGCCTTTTACTAGATAAAAAGGTGTAGTCATTTCTGAGGCTAAAAGTGCTTTTAAAAGAAATGTAATTTTTTATCAAATTAAACTAGACATGCTTGTATGACGTTTTAAGATAATAAAAATGATAATTTATATTTTAGAGGGTTAAGCTAACAAGCTGATTACCTTGTATAACATTTGTTATCTCTAGAAATAAGGGAAACGTCAAATTAAATATGATATACTGCGCATTTAAAAACATAAAATATCAAGTATAGAATTTATATATTTTTTCCTTTACAAATGAGTATAAGCCGAGACACTGACTCTTATATATCACCCAGAATAAAGCCAGACCAGTTTTCACATTATACGTTAGGCCGTCTTTATTCTTTTAGTTGCTCAATTAATAAGGAAAATAAAATAGCAATAAATAATCATAGATTCAGAAATGGGCAAGTTAATTAAGGGTTACTCAACTGAAGAGATGTTGTCTGATTTAATGAAACTCGGTTA